CAACCTAAATATGCATATCATGTATGCAGACATTCAAGAGACTAAAACCAGAACAGCCTCTTTTGAGGGAAAAAAGTATTTTGGGGTTGGAGTCCTCCTTTCCTGTCTGGAACTTTCACATTTATATCAAAATGTCTAGCACTAAAGCAAAGCTACTGCTGAAATGGTGAAGCACCTGTAGACTCTGCCAGTATGAAGCTTGAATTTTATGAAGAACATCTACAAGGTATGTTCTGAAGTCTTGCTTCATGGGACAGCGGAGGTAGCGCTCAGTGCCTTGGAAAGCTCTTTGCTGGAAGACCCGTGGTAGAACATGGCTGTGAGCTTTACAGAAGTCTGACTTTCCAGCAACAGAGCTGAGTGCAGACATCAGAGGTGACAACTAAACCTATACAGAGAGAGCAGGCTCTTCTAGGCACCAGAACTGTTGTCTCACAGTGTTTTCAGTGACTGGGTAGACTACATTTTCTCAATAACACATCTCAACTTCAAGAAAGCAAATACAAAAGGAAGCTCTGGGTAACTACCTTTACTACCTGTTGCCAAAAAAATTGCTCTGTTTGCCTGCCTGTATGTTGTTCAGGTGAGGAGTCTGCTGTCTGTCAGACTGGTACGGGAGGGAATTCTCCCACCAGCAAATTAATTTTTCCTATGCTGTTTTATCTTAGCTTGCACGTACATCAGCTTCCCACTGTGAATCTTCTCCAACAGAATCACAGAATCATTAAGGTTGGAAAAGACCTTTAAGATCATCAAGTACAACCATCAACCCAACACCACCATGTCCACTGAACCATATCCACCACTCAGTACTTTTCCACTTGAGTAACCAACTAAATTCTAATGTGCCGATATCACAGTTTACATACTTACAGTAAAGTCATGCACTTCATAAATGATAACTCTTGAATTCTGCATAACTGTATATAAAACACATAAGATGATTTTGTAAACTGCTAGCTTACACTTGGAATGTAATTTATAAGAGCCCTGCCGCTTAGGTTACAGAGGTAGTCCTATAGCATGACTTCTCCAGCAAGAGAAAAAGCAGATTGTGCTCATGTTGATGGATCCTACCATTATACAATCTGTGGGAATTGCTCGTGTTTCACTTGAAAGTTATCCCTTTCCTGTTTACTTGGAGGAGCACTGAAAGCTTTTTAGAAATTCTTCCATTTTTCTTGGCATGGGGCTATTAATTCTTGTATAGATTTTTATCATGGCCTCTTTTTCTAAAAATAGATATTTTGGCCACTAAAGAGTAGTTCAATTAAAAAAAAAAAGAAATCAAAGTGGTTTGTCCAAAGATGGATCTCCAAACATAATGGTTTTGGTTTTTTAAGTGTCCTTTTAACCCTTCCGTAAAAGCTACCATACATCCCTAGCTCTGTTCTGAAAATAGAGATTCATGGCTTTTGCAAAGTAAGCCATTTTCAATGTAAATATTTGGATTTAGGCTTTTATTTATAATACTTAGATGTTAGGAAGATCGCCCTTTTCAATCTGTGAAAAGAAAGCCTTCTCAAGAAAGCATTTCAGTCTCTCTCCTCTTACTCATACATGGAAGGATAGGACTCCCTAACTGTAGACATGTAACAGAGGTTGGGTAAAACTTCTTTTTTTCATTTCTTTTACTGGCCTGTAAAATCAAACCAGGATGCAGGCCTTAATCTGATTTTTAGTTATTACATGTAAAGTTGACCTCGAAAGTACTGAAGTCAAAGTAATGCTGGCAGTAAAAATCACTGGTTTTTTAATAATCTTAGGACATTTTTATAAGAGTTGGTTAACTGTGGCTATAAAGCATTAAAAAATACCTATATTTCCAATTTAGAAATGTGCAGTTTTTACAGTTGAAGAAAAAATACTTGTAAACAGATTTCAATTCTCTGTAGAAGTCATCATTTCAAATGGATTGTTTCCCGAACTTTTTGTTAAAATCTGTATACGCCACAGAGACGTGCTGTTGTAGACTGGAGACAAAGTGGTGACCACGAGGGCAGCAGGATGGTGAGCTGTGCAAGCCCCCGTGTCCCTGGATGTACTGCTCGTATCGCTTGTCCTTGCTGTACTAGCATTTGCTTGTTGTTTCTGCTCATAGTCTCCATTAAAACGAGTTGGTTGTCTCAATGGATGTTGGAATGTTAAAAGAGAGTCTCGTAATTGTATCCATTTTACTTGTATTTATCTGTTTAAGGTTGTTTATTCACATAAGATAGGATGATGCTTGTAACGCTAGTAATGGAGCTGTTGCTAGCCTTGATCCCCTGCATTTATTTAAAGTAACTGTATGATTTACTGCAAAACCTTCCCTACGTCAAGTGTTTACTGATGGATGAGCTTGACTGAGATGTCCCAGCTCATAATTCAGAAGTCACAACATAATTCAGAAAAGAAACTTCTGTTCTCAACATAGAGCCCTTTTGCAGTGATATGACATCACATTATTTCAGATGTTGGTGAATGCTGTATTAAAGATCAATGACGTTGGTTAAGCCATAGCTTCTAACTTTGTTTAAAACAGACTTGTTGCAGTGAGTTGGCATCACACAATAGCAACCTCTGATGTATAACTGCTGCTCGACAGGATGGCTCTGTGGAGGCAAAATGGGATGAATATTTACACATTGCCAATTCTTCTGTGTCCTGCAGAGAAATCATTCACCCAAAATGAATCATAACCTGCCTACAGTTTAGTTTTGCTTGCCTCGAACTAAATGTTTCCTCTTTCCCATCATTAATTTTTTTTTTTAAGCACACTATTCCCCTCTGTATGCTAGCTCAGGCATTGATAAGCGTTAGCATCCTGGAGCAGGTGAGGTGCCAGTTAAACACCCAGTGCCCGAACCTGCTTGTGTGCTTGGGAAGGCTGTTGAACTTGGTGAAGTTAAAGAGAATTTAAACCACAGGGAGATGGAGGTTTTCGCTGTGCTTATATTTGGGTTACTGGCTTGTACCTGTGACTAGGGTAGAGCTCATTAAGAGAAGCTGGGTGATGTAATTATAAATGTTGGGGTCTGGAGGAATGGTGCTAAAACAACCATGGCTTCTTGAACAAGAGCTTTAAACCTAATAAGTCTCCTGCCCTGGCTAAGTATGTCTCAGCTAAAACTTCCATGTCAGCAAAAACATCACCAAACAGTTGGAAAATCTAAGCAAGAGGTGGCGGTTTGAACCACGATGTGAACGAGGTGCCATCTGTATAAACAAAGCCCTTTCGGAGAGTCAGTAGTTGTATGGTAAGTGTCAATGTGGAGTATTTGCCTCAGGTACAGGCCTGGAGCAAGGAAAGATGGCTAAACCATGGTGCTTTCCCCATTCCCTGTGGGCAGCCTGCTCATGGGCATGTTTGGGCTGAAAGCACAGGTTGCGCGGGTTCAGAGAGGCAAGTTTATTCCAATAACTCTGTACTCATCAAGGTGTCTGTCGCCGTTAGCTTGCTCGTTAGCCAAAGTTGACTCAAATCACGTAGACCTTGGCCGCAGACCTGGATTTTGAATCCCGATAGTGAATTTTGTTATCTATGGTAAGTCGTGGGCAAAAAATGTCTTATTTTCTTATAATATTTCTGCATTACTGCAGAGCACACCAGTCTCAGGAAAATGCGATTTATCTCGTGGAAGAAGTCAGCATCATTAGTCAAGATTTGATAGCACTTTAAACAGCAGGAGATTAGACTTCCAAATTTGCAGCATAGTCTATTTTGGGCAGGGATTGGTATAATCCTGGATGCCTCGGCACGCTGCGCAGGGAGCGTAAGGTACAGGTTGATCTCGCCAGCAAAGGTCGAATACTACTCGCGCTCATGATACGTGGTTTTGAATAACAAATGCTTTTCCTTCCTAGAGTAAAGACACTCAGTTTTTCAGTCTTGGCATCAGCTGGACTGCAAGAAATTGATTGGTTTGGTTTTAATGCTTTGCTGAGAAACATGTCAAAGTTGTTACCTGACCTGTGCTGATAACTTGAGAGGGAGACGGATCTCAGAGGAGCCGAGCGTAGCAGCTCCTCTGGGCCAGTGTGCCATCTGCAGGCCATTGCTCGCCATGCTGGAGAGGTGTAAAGCAGGGCTTTGGGGGTTTCTTTCCTTCTCCAGAAATTATTTGTAACAACATTGTTGTTTTCTAGGTAAATATTACATAATAAATCAAATTTGTTTCAATTTGATCCTACGAGTAGTCATGTCAGTTCTGAAAGAAAAAGCAAGGACGGCAAGAGATAAACAAGCCTCTTTATTCATTAACCTTTAGAGAACAACTAATTGCTTTTTCTTTTATCGTCCATTGTTCACTTTTATCAGTAAACATTTTTGTGCTTAGAAATGGGATATTTCATATGACAGTCAAATTCTGTCCACCATGCTCAGTCTGTTAAATCTTTAGCAAGTCTTTATGGTGGTCGTCATAGATGAGCAGTACCACTATGATGTTCAAGTCCTGTTGAATGTTAAAAGTTTTGCTGAGAAGGGGATATGTGTATACGACAACCAAGTAGTTTTCCAAGCGTCCCAAAGATCTTTGGTTTTATAGATAGAGGGTAGAGGATGCAACAAAGCTATTTGGTTTCTACACAGCAGACCTTGGCTGCTGCATTTTCACAGAGGCTATCCCCACCAACACCCCTGTCAAAAAAGATACGGCACAGTCAGCAAAATCTGGCAAAGTGTGATATTTTTGGTCAGTAGGAACTAATTTAGACTAGTGATTCCACTGTTTGATATCTCTTTTCTTTATAACTTTTACTTCAATAGCTTAAGTATATCTATTGTTACCTTCTTGTTGCCCAGGTATTTGAAAGATATATGATCTGTGATTTCCTTAACTTTTTTTTTTAACCATTGATAAGAAATTTTGACTGGGTTGTTCATCTGGGAGGGAATTTGCTGTAGGTCCATTACTGACCGATGTACAGTTTTCAAAGGTATAACAAAATTTAATGTATAATGTGAGATGTTTGGTGTGTACCACATAACCTTTAAATCATTTTTGTCTTTGTTTTAGGTCTTCCTGAACAATACTACAGCCTCACGTGGTTCCTTAGCCCTATCCTGGGCTTGATCTTCACTCCGCTTATAGGTTCAGCTAGTGACCGCTGCACACTGAGCTGGGGCCGCCGGCGGCCTTTTATTCTTGCTCTCTGCATTGGTGTCCTCTTTGGAGTTGCACTTTTCCTTAATGGCTCTGTTATAGGTAAATAATGAGGAAATCACCTGTGTATAGCTCCTGCTAACATACCTGCTTTAAGATTTTTATGTAGGAAGTAAAGATGATACGCAGTTGATTTAACTTAAGTTTAGTGTTAAAATCATGAGAAATCTCTGCAACAGTGCATTTGAGCTATCCATCTTGAATGTTTTTATTCATATTCGAAAGTTACGGTGCTGTGCTAAGTGTTGTGCAATCATAGCTGTAACTGGTAATACAGTGTTATTAATACAATGGTTGCCAGCATAATGTCTGCAGTCACTGAGACAAATTTGGTCGATCCTTGACATGGGAAAATTGTAGCAACCTGTTCACAGGGAAATGTTTCCTGTTGTGATCCATTTTCCCTTTAATGCATATCTGGCAACACATCCTGTTTCCAGCATTATTTCAAAAATTATCTTTTCACTTTTTCTTGTGCTTTTCTTAGACCCGGTATTGAAAAAGTCCAGAACACAGTTAATATTTGTTTATCAAAAACTATGTGGGAAAATAATTTTTCCTGAGCCCCCATCAAAGTTGGTAAAAATAGCTTCCCTTGAACATAGTTTACTACTGAGCTTAATCTACAATCTACAATCTCTTTGTAAATTTAGTGTAGGAGAGGTGACAGCAAGTACATTTGGGGAAATGTTTACATCATGGTTGGACTGATGCAAATGAAAGGAACTTAGCACCTAATAATATCCTCTGGGGTTTTTTTCAGGTTAGCTCTATTGTGAAGAAGTTTTACTAATTACGGGAAATGAGTGGAACATTACCTTGGCTCAGCCTGTTAGCTTTTTAGAACCAGATTGGGGTGCCATATGATGGTTTTCAATTTTCTACAAACTGCAGTGGACAAACTGTTCAGATGAATGATATTTAGCTTATGTTTTGGGGGTTTTTTTTCAATTTACCCAAGCAATAAATACTAATTATTTGAATTGCTATCATATGGTATCAATTGTACTTTGTTGTTGTATCTCCAAGACTTATTCCTCCTCATTCAGATGTATGCAAGATGTTAGCCTGCAGCCCTCTTACAAGGTTTTAATTAACAGGAAGCTCTTATTTCCACACAGTGGTTTAGGTCAGTAGCCATTGATAGGGGCAAGCAAAGCTCATACACAGTTTATAGGTTTATTTTGAAATATCTCACCTTCTAATAAATCAACAGAAAATATTGTCTTCAATTTTTCTCTAATTCTTTGCTATACAGTAATACAGTCTATTACATAGCTTTCGAGGAAGCCTGCATTTTGCAGATACTCCAGTGCTACTTTCCAGATACTCAGGTGCAGTAAAACTTCAGAGGTTATTGCAATGCACTGCAAAACTGAGCTCTGTTCTTTATGCATCCGTTCCTGGGATGTGGTTGTGGTAGATTTTGAACAAATACCCTCTTCTGAAAAGCACAATAAACACTGCGGTGCCTCTCCTAGGGGAGCCTGGAACGAACTGAAGTGATGGTCTTGTCTAGACTTGTTCCATACTAGAAGATAGAGATTTGCCACTATAATTGAAGTCACATCAGTATAAGATATCAGCCACCTGCTCTACTAGTTAGAGCAGATGCAAAATATGATAAAGCAATATTAGTCTCTCTTTATTTGAACTTTTTGAAATGGTGGCCTGTGTTACTTTTCAGAGAGAAAAGGCATCGCTTACGAGTTTCTTGCCAAAGGGGGGTGTTTAGAGGTTTGCAGGAAAAGACCTCGTTTTGTAACCAAATTTTCTTCTAGATGGACCCTGTATGCTTTCAATGTCTTCTTCCCATTTTACGTTCACGCTTTCCTATCGTTAGTCTCCAGTTACTTGCTCTCCTAATTTCAGCTTGGGACTTCAGGAGATGCTGCAAAACAGAGGTGGTCATTGTATGGAACCTTTCTTCGTAACCTGGCCTCTGGCAATAGGAGTCACAGGGAGGGGAACAAGAAGCACAAGAGCATGCTAAAAAAGAGGTTTGCCAATCCTAATAGTAATACCACCATGTCCCAGGAGAACAGCTGTGTATAGATCTTATTCAACTCTTGTTCTCTCCACTGTGTGCACTGTTCAGGTTTCCAACAAATCTAAAGCACTGACACTGTTGGTGTTTTCTGCTTTAAGATTCAGCCGAGCGTGGAACACGTATAAACTTCTTCAGCATTCAGAGGACTTGGTATAAATGAGGATTAAATACGCAGGAATCATAGCACTTCGGATTTAGATGATTTTGGTGGCTTAGCCAGTTCATCTCTTTCTGCAGTCATTTTCATCAATTACACTAACGGTTTTATCAGTCTTGCATGTGTAGCTTCTAAATCTCCCTGATTCGAGTAATTCATGCTTTTGTCAATGGTTTGTTTCATGAAAAATTCTCCATCTATATACTAATGCTGCCTTTCTACTCTGTAGACAAAGAGCATTTCATCCTGTGCTATCAACAGAAGCTGATGCTTTTTGCAATGCAAAATACCTTCATGTTGCTTCATCCTTAAAAGTTTTGCTTATGAAACTGATCTAGGAAATATGATTGATGGAGAAAAGCAGAGAGAGAGGTGAAGGAGTTAAATTTCACTTTATCCTGTTGTGTTGCAACCTTTACATGTTAGGCACCATGTCAGGAATGCTGTCAGCAGTGCAGTTACTTCTGTGTCTGATAGATGAGGTATGTCATCTTGCTCTTGGATGCTCTCCTCTCACTGTGGCTGTCTTTTATAAAAACAGCCTTCAGCGTTTGAAGGAAAATACAACCAAGAACATGAAATAATGTCCAGTGATCTCCAAGCTTTAAGGGATACTTTTAAAATAACATTTTGAAAAATAAACATCAGTCTTACAAATGTAAAAATGTAGTCTTTGTCCCAGACTACTTATGAAGATGTGCCAAAGAGTTGAAATTGGCATTTTATTCTGTAAAATAGTATTTCCAGTAAGTATGTTGGCCACCTTTTGCTTAAGGAGCTTAACCTTGCTCTTAGTAGTTTTCCTTTTTTGACTGACTTGCTCACATTCCTCTTCTGGTTTTTCTCAGGTCTGGCTATTGGTGATGTCCCGGACAAGCAACCCATTGGTATAGTTCTCACGGTGCTTGGTGTTGTGGTGTTGGACTTTTGTGCTGATGCAACAGAAGGGCCAATTCGGGCCTACTTGTTGGATGTAGTGGACAGTGAAGAGCAAGACATGGCCCTTAACATCCATGCATTTTCAGCTGGTATGGAGTTAGCCAATATGTTTTTGGCAGCTGCCAGATCTTCCTGATGACCAGGTTGTGACTGAATTGATTTTTTCTTAACTCGCTTCTCATTTTTTCTGTTCCACAGGTCTTGGAGGGGCAATCGGTTATATGTTAGGAGGGCTGGACTGGACACAGACCTTCTTGGGTGGTATTTTTAAATCTCAAGAGCAAGTCCTTTTCTTCTTTGCAGCCATTATTTTCTCTGTCTCCGTTGCTCTCCACCTTTTTAGCATTGAAGAAGAGCAATATAACCCTCAGCAGGACAGGATTGATGATGGAGACGACACACTTTCCAGTGTCAAATTTAGTGGTAGTCTCCCCCCTCTGAATCGACTGAATGTAATTAGTGAGGAAGAGCCGTATGGAGCCTCTATGTTCCACGATGAGGTTCAGTCAGAGCATGATCTCAATTTGGAGTTTCTTGACGTGAACATTGTAAGAAGTAAGAGTGACTCGGTTCTGCACATGCCCGATGCTACATTGGAAATTGAATCGGAACTGCTTTTTCTGCATGACATTGAACCCTCCATTTTTCAGGATGCTTCATATCCAAATACTCCCCACAACACAAGCCAAGAGATCATGAAATCCAAACTCAACCACCTGTCTGCTTTCCTCAGGGACAGTGAGAAAGAGGAGGAAATGTTGCTTGATAATCGCTTGAATGAAGATAAAGTCCCAAATGTCAATGGCTCCCTACCAAAAGAGTTCCTCAATGGACATGCTAGAATAGGCATGAAGCAATCTAGTACTTCAAACTCCATGCGAAGGAGGAGGCACATGTTTTACCGTCAGCCATCTTACACCTTCTCATACTATGGCAAAATAGGCTCTCACCGCTATCGCTTTCGTCGGGCCAATGCCATTGTCTTGATAAAGTCCTCACGCAGCATGAATGATATCTATGACATGCAGAAGCGGCAGCGACAGAGGTACAGACACAGGAATCAGAGTGGCACAACAAATTCAAGCGGAGACACAGAGAGCGAAGAGGGGGAGACTGAAACCACTGTCAGACTCTTGTGGTTGTCGATGCTAAAGATGCCAAAGGAGCTGCTGAGACTGTGTGTCTGTCACCTCTTAACTTGGTTCTCAATCATTGCTGAAGCTGTGTTCTATACAGATTTCATGGGCCAGGTCATCTTTCAGGGCGATCCAAAGGTAAGAGAATAGTTACCATTGGCCAGCCTGCTTATAGTTACTCATTTCAGAGACGTGCTCCTTACGAGAACGTGGCTTTGCGTTTGTGTGTTGCAGGCCCCTTCAAACTCAACCGAGTTACACGCTTATAATGCTGGAGTTCAGATGGGTTGCTGGGGACTGGTAATTTATGCTGCTACTGCTGCCGTTTGTTCAGGTAAGAGACGTTGCACAATCAGACAGTGGAATGCGCCCCATTGTATGTATTTGCAAGGTGAAAATAGGTTTGCTTCAGTTAGCATCTGCCTCCTTGTTTGGGCTGAAGGATATTTTGGAAAAGCATTTTACATGGTCATAAAGGGAAAGGCTTCTTTAAGAATCAATATTAAAAAGTTCCTCTGAACGTAGAGGTGGAAATATGAAACAGATTGGTGAAGTAGCATAAAGCACAAAATTGTATCAAAGGATATTGAATGGCATTTAGCTTGTCATCAGGAAACTAAATTATGCTTGCATATTATTTAAGCGTATGTAAAAAGGTTTTTGCAAAGACCGTTTTTAAAATCAAAATTATAACTATATTTCTGAAAGTCTCTTTCTTGCTCTCTAATAACAGATAAACCAACTACAGACAATTGGAAAGCTTTTGCCAAACTTGAATTCTGCGTTTTGCAGCACATGTGCAGGCATGTCTGCACAGACCAGTATCGTGGGGACTGCCTCTTTGTAGAGACATGTCAAATTGAAGTTCAGGTGGGCAACTTGGTCCTGAACGCAAACTGGAACACGGCTATAAACGTCAATTATCTGATTGCTGCTTAGCAAATGTGCTTGCATTAGAAACGGAATCTCCTCTGTGCTCAGAGTGTACCTGCATTGATAAAGTTAATAAATAGGTAAAATTCATGAATGGACCAAGTGGACCATGATATGTTTGAGTCTCGGAGCATGGGGTTCTGCCTCAGGTTTGTAGCATGGTTTAGGCAAGTCTCTGAGTTCGTTTGTTCCCCTGTCTCTGAAGTGGAATTACGTCCTTTCCCCAATGAGGGCTGAGCTACGCTGCTAGGGCGAGCCAAATATGCAGCAAGCGTCTGAGTCCTAAATAGCGTATCGAGCTGTCACGGCCACGTCAAAAACTTCACCAAGTAAACTGATACTTATATTTTATTCTTCACCTCTGCAGCCTTGTTGCAGAAATACTTGGACAACTATGATCTTAGTATAAAAGTGATCTACATCCTGGGCACGCTGGGTTTTTCTCTTGGCACTGCAGTGATGGCTATGTTCCCCAACGTGTACGTCACCATGATAATGATCAGCACTATGGGAATAGTCTCTATGAGTATCTCCTACTGCCCCTATGCGCTTTTGGGACAATACCATGATATTAAACAGGTACGTGGAATATTTAGAATATTCTAATCAAGGCAGAGCATTCACGTTTCTCTAAAGAACACAATGGGAGAATGGATTTATTAAATCCCATTATTTGAGATACCTGCCTTGTCGGGATGTGTGTCAAAGAACAGATTTGTCCTTGATAGTAAACAGCAAGAGCTGCCACTTAAATCAGATGGTATTAGCATCAAGTTGGCTCAGTGGGGTCATGATTGCTTTACCCCGTGCTGAGGTGTAAAAGGATTTGGGTGCGTATAGTAGATGAAGAGAGATTAAATAGTTATTGAGGCATTTATTATATACCTAGTTGTTAATAATGTTTCTGACGTGTTATGTTATGTTAGCATTACCCAGGTTAATGTGCAGTCTTAGGTATTGAGGTGAGTCTGGAAATGCAGCTGTAAGTTTGGGGAGACATAAGGCAAACAGATTCAGCTGAAACAAGGAGAAGAGGAGGCACTGAGGAGATTTTATTGCAGCCTTCCAGTACTTAAAGGGGGCTTAGAAGAAAGATGGGGACAGACTTTTTAGCAGGGCCTTTTGCAACAGGAAAAGGGATAATGGTTTTAAACAAAAAGAGGGCAAATTTAGACCAGATCTAAGGAAGGAATTTTTTACAACAAGAGTGGTGAAACCCCGGCCCAGGTTGCCCAGAGAGGTGGTAGATGCCCCATCCCTGGCAACATTCCAGGTCAGGTTGGATGAAGCTCTGAGCAACCTGACCTAGTTGAAGATGTCCCTGCTCTTTTGCAGGGGGGTTGGACGAGGTGAGCTTTAAAGGTCCCTTCCAACCCAAACTATTCTATGATTCTGTGATTTACTTTCCACTTTTTAGCAGTATTCCATGTGGATTACAAACTACAGGAGGTTCATTTATTTTAACATGGTTCTGCATTGTGGTTGGGAGAGGGGTTCCTTTTAATAATCATAAAAATAATTTCCAACAACTGTTTCATGTAAATTTGTTTTACAAAACCTAATCTTGGAGCCAGTTCATGCTAGGATTGCCCCAGTAAATATCTGCCTCTTGCTGTAAGATGAGGAGGCCATTGATAAGGAGATAAGGAGGCTGTTGCTCAGGACTTGTATAGCCTGCATGATGCACAAGGATGGCATAAAGTTCACCATGCGGCGGAGAAATTCAAGGAAGATACCAGTGTTTAAATATTTTATTTTGTTCATTGTTTTACCTCCTAACACATTTCTTTTTTTTTTTTTTTTTTTCCAGTACATTCACCATAGCCCCGGGAACTCAAAGCGAGGATTTGGCATAGACTGCGCTATTCTGTCATGTCAGGTTTACATCTCTCAGATCCTCGTGGCCTCTGCGCTTGGTGGTGTGGTCGATGCGGTTGGCACAGTCAGAGTCATTCCCATGGTGGCTTCAGTGGGATCCTTCCTGGGTTTTTTGACAGCTACCTTCTTGGTGATTTACCCTGAAGTCAATGAAGAGCCAAAGGAAGAACAGAAAGGACTAGGTCCTCCAGAGGCAGCCGAAGGCAACGGCACGAGCGGAGAGAAGCCAACTGTGCTGAAGCTCACGCGCAAAGGAGCTGCCACATCCGAATTGGAGAGCGAGTCAGCCGTTTGAGGCCGTTGCTTGTTCTTCACCCACATTCCAGGGAGTGCAGGTGCAGGATCAAAAACTTTGGTTTTTTTCCCAGGAAGACAAGTTAGGATCTTCACTACTTGTAGCTAAAATTGCAGAAGAAAAGGCAGTTTTGTGCAAAAGTGTAAATGAAATTCTGTAGTCCTTAATATAGGTTTGAACAGGTAGCTATGATGCTAATTGCTTTCTCTACAACTTAGAAATGTCATTTCTGAACACTTTTTTTATTAAGAATACAGTTAGATTTCAAGTAAGTTTTATTAATCTGCATGAGACTCACAACGTATACAATTAGCAGTTAGAAAAATTAAGTTTTTGGCTGTTTTTAAACTAACAGAAAATGGAAGCTATCTTGACTTATAGTCTCTTGCTATTTTTTTGTCTGAACATTTCAGATTCCACTAGTGTAATAGCTGAATCAAATGCTTAGACATCTTGATCAATTCTTTTCATAAGCATGATATTATTGGTCTGACAGCTACAGTTCTTTAACGTTAATTTTAGACTTCATGTTTTTTGTTAGTGCAATTACTGCAGAATAGTTTTATTTGCAATTATTTTCAAGAATAACAAAAGCAATTACTGCGGTTTCTAAGAAACTGCCATGAATCCTTTCAGTCATACTGTTTCAACAACTACTTCCAAGTCTGCTGCTCGTCAAGAGAGGGTGACATTGGGTGCATGATTTGAACTGTAGATGGAAGGAGCAGCAACTGGGAGAGGTGACCAGCACTGACAGGTTTTTATCACAAGTGCTGCATTTTAATGAATGTCTTTGGAATACGCTGTGACAATTTTTAGCTGGGAGTTTTGCATACTGGTGAACTTGGGGGTTTTCTTGGCATTTAAACCTGATCATCTCTGGATGAAGCTGCCATGGAGAAAGGGCATTTCTGGGGTCAGCTTCATGGGAGGGGGCATGTGGATTCTCTTTTGTAGGGATAATTGCACTTTCAATGATCCTTTAACCTCCTGGCTGGGAACGCAGCAGCCGAGGTAAAGGCACGGTGTCAGTACAACAAGGTAAACCGAAGGCCTACCTCCGTCACTTTATGGTATAGTCTGGGTGTATAAAAATCTGTGTCAGAAACAGTTTTTAGGCCTTAAAATTCAATCCACTAGCATGTGTCGCTGTTCCAGTCCCTGCGTTGGAGGAATTGTAGGCTGGAGCTCTTACCAGCTGGCGTACACA